TTTCCTAATAGCAGGTAATGGTATGGATATGGCCTTGTTACTCACGCTTGTCGGCAACATTGTTGTAGTTAGAATGGTGAAATTCACGCGTTTTCAACTCTGTCAGATATCTTTGACAAAGTTGCACGTGATATCCGAAAAGCTGAAATTGCATCTGAAAAGTGTTGATGGACTTGGTGCAGGAAAATCTGGCTTTTGAATTTCGGAGAGTGACGTCCCTTCGATTTTTGAATAGGTGGCTATGTTGCCTCTCCTTTTATAGAGGCATCAAATGTATTCAAAACGCATGCTTTGAAGATTGCCCACCTGTGAAAATTGTCTCTTTTGTATTTCTGAAATTTCACTATTTCCAACCCTTTTCTTTCATCAATTTCTGAAAATGGCTTGCCCATCTAACATTTGCTTAGATTTGAGTCTTAGGAGTGATATAGACGAGTCGTGTCAGGATAATATATGGCGCCCATATTTCTTATCTTCAAATGACCCTCTTACAGTTGGAGACTATGTGATGAGGGATGAAATAACGGTTACAGTAGTAGGCAGGAACCTTCTCACTCCCAGAGATAAAAGAATGTAAAGAGGACTGATGAATCGGTTGTTCAAGACTCTTTGGCTTTTAGTGTTCAATGTGCAAGTTCTGTATCCAATATAAGCCAGCGTCTACTTGCTCGATCTAGCCAAGTCGAATCATTAATGGTTGAGGTGGCAAGTCTTCGATAAGAGATTAGAGGGCTCAAGTACGAGAATAAAGAGTTGCACAAACTCACAAATATTTACTCGACGAGCATGAAGAGAAAGCTCAACCAGTTGTAGGAATCCGAAAGTCGGATTCAAAGTGATCACCAAAGATTCATGGCTCGATTTCGAGGCCAATATATGTCTTCCCCTTCTAGTGTACTGTCAAGTACTGAGGTTTCACATGAGCAACATTTGTGAAGGCTCGCTCCTGTTTTTTCATTTTAACTCATGCGTATGTATATGTATGTAATTTCTTGGAGATATTAATAGATAAGCTTTATTTCATTCAATGTATTGTGTCAAATACAATAAAGCATATACTTCACTAAGATGTGATACTTCTAGACCAAATATCAATTTATTTTTACCCACACAAAGATAAATGATCATTCCTAGTGTCTAAATAATTTGAGCATTCAACTCATAATCTTCAATCCATATGATTCTTTAATATCATAAACATCATGGATAAGATTCGTGTTGGCATATTGTTCGATCTGCATCTCGAGACAATATTTCTCTCAACACTTTATAATCTTTCTTAACTCTTCAGGAATCTTTATTTAATATCATCATCTCTTCAGGAGTTCTAATTTAATGTCATCGACTCTTGCAAGAGATTTTAGTATGTTGCAACAATATCATAATGATGGTACTCACTAAGGCAATTTATACCATCCATTGGTATTGAGTACATAATTTATGCTTTATCTTTCCATGACTTACTTCAAGCAATCTAAATCCTTCATGGATTTTCTACACTTCATGACACATTTTCCTTTGGAATTTATTCAAAGCAATTTGCTTCAATGTATACTTGAAGGATTTACTTATGGACATAAGATGCGGGCGACTTAAAACCCTTCGTATATAATTCTCCATTCATTTGAACTTGTTTACAAGAGTTTAATTTCAGGTTTCAATTAGTAACCTTGTGTCATATCATGTGAGTATATTTCACTGTATTACAAATGTCCAATGTAACCTCCTTGGTTCAACATATTTTGGCTATTTGTATTGAATTCAAGTATATAGATCTATTTTTCCACATTCTTACAAAATTGTAATGGAATTGCCTTTCTCCATTTTGGCCAATAATTTTGTTGATGGAAAAAGAATGGGACTCAATATCAACACAACTCATTGATGAATTTAGTAGCTACTTGTAAAAACAAAAAATTACCATTGGTTATCATCAATCCGTGATCCCATATTCTCATGTGCATGCTCATGCATAAAAGATTTTCAGTTCTTTTGGATATCCATTGCCTCTTCAAGGGCGTTACACTATCTTTTTCAGGATAGCCATAATTTAGAGAATTCGGATCATAACCTCCTCTTGAGCGTTATAGAGCTTGGATTTTAATCTCCATTGAGTCATTGGAACCTATACGTCTATCATGCTTCATGCATGAGACACCAACATTCCCATGTCTACGGATTGGCCTTCTGGGACATTTATCCATGCGGCGACTGTCATGCTTCTGGCATGCAATAGTTATGCTTTGGGAATGCAATAGTTCAGTAGTGTCATGTTCTTCTTCTTTCAAATGACTGAACCTTCTGAATCTAAGGGTGTACCATGCTTCAGGCGTGCAACATATAAATCATTTGTCACCACATTATTCTGTCCAACAGGGACATCAATTCTTGTAGGCACATTTGTAGCAAGTATATTGATTTTATCACTTTCGGTGCATCATTCAATTATTCTTACTTCATTTTCTCATTGATTGCTTTATGAATCAAAATAAGACAAATTCTCTTTGTTCTTCTGGAACGGTCTTTTCTCATCATTTTTCTGGAATGATATTTTCTCATCATTCTTTTGGAACGATGTTATTTTTTCCCCCTAATGGCGAGAAAACTATCTTATCAAAATCACAGTCCGTAAATCATGTGGTAAATATATCCCCAGTTAAGAGTTCCAAATATTGAATGATAAATAGTGAATCAAATCCAACATAAATTTCCAGTTTGTATTGATGCCTTATTTTAGTATGTTATGGCAGTACAACAGGCACATAGATAACACAACCAAAAACTCGTAAATGTGTAATTTTTGGTTGGTGCCCAAACACGAGTTGTATTAAGAAATATCGATGGTTGGCAACATGTCTCAACCGAATGCATCATGTAAAATTTACATGTCCTCATCTGAAAATTTCGTTTTCATGAGGAACATGGCGTTCAACATCAATGCCCAGTGATATACAATAATCATCAAGCAAATATGCATTATCTCATCATTTACATACATCAAGGAACTTCTGGTCATTATTTAATAGTCTATGGACTGAGACTTTTATGTCCTTTATTACAATTAAGTTGTGGCACTTAGGGTCTTCAAAGTTAAGGTACTCATCAAGGAACTTTATGTTCAATCTTGAGGATCTAGGGACTTCATGCCTGATCGTTTTGCATGATGGAACTTCGAGTCCAATTATTTTATGTGATGAAGATCAAGAAACTTCAAGTTCTTATCTGATCAAGGAACTTCGAGTCCAGTATGTACTCATCGTAACAAAAAAAAGTACAATAAATACATTAAAGCAATAGGCGTTAATTACAGCCATGGTAAATAAATTGTTTTTAAGTAAATAAAGCTTGTGACAAGGGCTTTAATTCAGCACCATTTACATAAATATCAAAGCTTTAAAGCAAATGGCGATAATTCCACCCACTGTAAATAAATTGCTATAAATAAATAGAACTTGTGACATGGGCTTTAATCCAACAACATTCACATGGATATGCCAAAACAGAAAATGCAATGATTAAGTCCCCATCTTTTGCTTTTTCTTTTTTCTTGGTCTGCCACTTTCTTTTGTTTGATTCCTTTTATTTTTATTTTTATTTCACAACTCTAAGTCATTTTAGTTACTTAGAAAGTAATAGTAACAATAAGTTCCAATTGGTGTTTCTCCTCAGTGAGTTTCGAAAAAGTCGAAACGGTTCCCATAAGTTTTGGAGTCAAGAGTGTCTGCAACTTATGAGAAGATCAAACCGTTAGATTTAGTTCAAAGTTTGGTATGATATGGATAAGAGGATACCGAACAACTTTCGTGAGAAACAATTTTGATCTGAGCTACCGAAATGGAATTTTGGTACTCATAAGGTGTCTGTCCAATTTTCTGCGGAAATTGGAAGCTGGTTTGGTATTTCAGGCATATGCGATGATCGCATCGTTGGAATTTTCTGAAAATTTGATATGTTGTAGGTACTGGACGGACGAACAACTTTAAAGAAGAAAGTATTTCAATCCGAGGTTTGAAAGTTGGAGTTCCGAGGCTGTTTACATGGCAATCAGATTCTCTACGAATTTTGAGTCTGTACTCTTTTGCTTCTGCGAAGAATGATATACAATCTTACAACAACATATATATATTTGCTTTAGGAAAATCAGTAGTACAAAAATTTTAAGAAGAAATGAAAAGATTTTCTTATCTATGAGATTCCAGGCAACATAGGTGAACATGATTTGTGGCGTTGTGCTTTCCATTGACACGAGAGCTTCTCATGCTGATAACGTGTTGTAGAATCAACAGTGTGTGCAGTGAAATGAATAAAACAAGACACAAAATTTACGAGGTTCCTCTACAGTCAGTGTGACTGGAGTACGTCCTCGAAACAGCAGTCGTGCTTTCATTTATAATCTGAAATAATAAGAGTACAAAGATAATTCTCACTATTCTCTCCTTTCTTCTTCTCTTTTCTTTCTTTCCCTTCATTCCTTCCTCTCTCTCTGCCGTGTATCATGTCTTCCTTCTCAGCCTTTGAGCCGTATAACTTGTGTCTTGTTGCTCTATTCCCTCATCTTCTTTTTATAGGAAAACTAGGAGCAGTGGTAGCTCTTAGTGTGAGGGCATCTTCTTAGTGGAGCCACCTACATTCCACCACATTTGCCAGCCATCCACATTCAATGTTTTACAACATTTTAAGATTTTTACTAAAATGTGGTTTGAAAAATAGGACAATGAGATAGGATTATCAGCACGCTTAATTATTATAAAATTTGTTAAGAAAAGGGTAGAATGTCTATTTACATACGTCAATCTACACAAAAGTGTTTTCTTAATAATAGTATTTTTGGATGAGAGTCAACCAATTGGGTATTGTCCCACCTATTTCATTTGAATTTTGGTATTTAATTTGAATTTGCCTTTTGATCTAAAACTGCAAGAAAACGGAAGAGGCTTTGAGCTCGGATACAGCGAGATCAACATGAGGAGGCCCTAGTTACGAAGGCAATCGATCACACGTGCACAAACAAAATAAATATAGATTCATATGAAAAAGAGTTTGTCAAAAGCATCCAAGAACAAAACAAGGAAATTTGAGCACTCCTCTCTTTTCCCCATTTTACATAGAACACAGCATCAGCAAGGCAATCATAAACCTGAGTCACCAGCTCTCACTTTGATTGTTGTTTTTCTCAGCCACACACACACTCTTTCTCTTCCACCCCAACACTCACAGATATCGGTTCGTTACTTCCCCAAGTTCTGATTTTTAAGCCGCACCACACCATTCTTTTTCCTGTCTCTTGACATCACGACTCTGATCTATTTGGCCCCCGTCTTTGTCCCAGATTCAGCAAGAGGTTTAATCTGTAGAATAAAAAGATTGACGTGTAAACTTGTTACTTTCACTTGATACACTGACTCGATATATAAAAAACACAAACGGGCTTACAAAAGTAAGCCATTTGTTGAATATCACATATGAACATATGAGGTAAAAGGACAAATACCTCCCCCGAAGAAAGTCTTCCAACTCCATTAGGATCGGCATCTTTGCTAAGTACCTCCATCAACTCAACTAAGGGCCTCAAGGTAGCAATTGTCTTTTTCATTTCTAAATTACTGAGCTCCAATACGAGACAAAAAAGAACAAATAAATAACATATTTAAACAAATCATAAGGGAAAGTTCTATCCATTTTCTATATGTTTGAAGAAGTGGAAAAGAAAACCAATTCTTTGGGTTAAAAGGAAAAATAACAAACAAAACGTATGTCATAACGCAGCAGTATACTGCCACTCACAAAATATTAACTACTTTGAAGGAATTTCCCAAAAGACAGATATGTCAATAAAGGAAAAAACAATCTCAATTTCCCCCTTTTCACTAATTATGAACTTACTAAATTACAGCTTTGAAGCATGGTGCAGAAACTTTGTTCTGTTATGCATTCCGGCACATAATGCCCTAGTAGTTCAAATTCAAGAGTTTCAATATGCGTATCTAGTCTCCGTTTGAATGCATCGCATCTCATTAATGTAGAATACAAACACACAAAAATATGGACAGATTACCCAACAATTTTTCGGTTAAAAAAACAAGTATCCAACTAAAGCAAAAAATGGAGGCCATACTTGCCAAAGTAAGCACCAAAAGTTCCAGATTCACGCCATCTTTGTTCCTGTCTCTGGGATATCATCGACTCTATGCTGTCGCTTGTATCGCTGGTAAAAATCCCCAGAGGTGCTGAATATCAGGATTCCAATCTATTTGACCCCCATCTATTTTTGCAAGTTTTTGCTGAAACAAAATTTCAAATACTCATATCTTCGAATTTTAACCATAAGAAAAGAAAAGAAAAGAAAATACAGCAGACTTGCACTAATAGCTGCCATTTAAAAATTATCAGTCACGACTAGAGCTTAAGTGATACCTTGATTGCAGACATCAATCCGGTGTTAAACTGAAGAACACCTCTGCCATCACTTTCCTGATCCAGCTTTGCGCCATACTATATGCCTGCTCGCACACTAACATCCAAACAATTCAACTCTCGTGAATACATAAATACTCCAACAAAAATACAAGTATCATAACACCACCAGACCAAATATTCCAGCTCGGAAACAAAAGATAGTCCGTAAACAACTTTGATTAGACAGCAAATTGAAAACATCTTTACATCAAAGCAAATGCTACTGAAACCAGCAGCATACTGTAGAATTCCAATCCTCAGAACAATTTTTAAGTTCGATTATGACGATTAGCTAAAGGTAGCTCACTTAAAACTAAATCATAACCGAAATTATACCAGAAATTGTAACAACTCGAACGGCACCAAAAATCGAATTGAGCACGGAAAAATCAGCATTAATTTAAAAAATTCAAGAAAACAAGAGATAGGCTTACGAATTCTGGAGACGTTGGGGTCCTCAGCTTGAATCACATCGGCAGCTTGTAAGATCGCATCGATATTGACGGCGGGACGGCGCCGGCGATTCCACTAGGAACCCTATCGCGGCCTGGCGGGAGCTCCTGAGCTGCTTCAACTTCAACTGAAATCGTCGTAAATCTCAGCCATCCGGCTCAGATGAAACTGGAGCTACTGGATATCAACGCGACCAGGAGAGAAAGGTGGGACGGTGGAAAAGCAGAAGATGGTTTGAAGAAGAAAAAGACAACAAGTGAAGAGATAATTAAAGAGGTAGAAAATATAGATGAAGTCCCAAATTCTGTTGCAGAAATCTATCCTACTTTTATTTATTAAAATAAAAACCTATTCTACTTTAATTTATCATTGATATGATTATCATGGAGACTCCTCGTCGAACAACGTGACTTCTTCTTTCAAAGATTTCAAGAAGTCTTTGGTTGGTTTTCCCATATAAATTGTTTCGAAGTCTTGGAACATTGCCACTTCTTGCTCTGAGAACTTAGCTGTCTTCAATCCCAAAATAATCTCGTTATCCTTGTTTTTCTTCACCTCTCTCGTATCAAGTTTATAAGTTTTCAAATGAGACTTGTCGGTGCTAAATGGTGGACATTCAGTGACCGCTTCACCATCATCAAAAAATGCATTGACATCTTTTGCTTCCTTAAAGATCACGCGATGTAGGCAAAAATCTCCCTCAAGCAAAGCCACGCGATGCCCCTTCTTTTTCACAGGTAAACTACATAAAAGTTTAAAAGAAATAAGAAAACAAAACAAAAATAAAGTGAAAATCTTTGAACAACCTCTTTTAAGTAGAACTTAAATAAATACCAAACATAAACTTACCCAATATTTTCAACTACAAATCCACCAAAGTTTGAGCCCTCAAGTGTTTGACGATAGATTAAAAATAATGTCGTCCGGTCGTGAGCCTCCAAAAATTGAAAATAATCCAGGTAAGTTTTTACAAACCCATATGGTCCCTCCTTTTCGATTGCTCCGTCTACACTGACACTGCACACTAAAGCATAGCAATCAACCAATTTTAGATATACTATATCTATAATAAAACAAAAAAATATATATACAATTTTATTATATTTTAGTTACCTCTAAATGGCGCACCGCAATTATTATCCTTCAAACAAGAATGAATCATTGCTAAACGGGTGATCATTCTCGCTTGTATCAAACTAATCTTCAATTTTTTCTTAATATTTGCAATCTGGTAATCGTCGGCGGCATCAACATGTTGCACCATTTTTCCATCAAAAAATGACATAGATAAATGTTCTTGTGCATCACTTGCACCAGATCCGTCATTATAAATAGAACCATGCTCCAACTCCCTAGCACCGTGTCTAATTCCAACCATTGGACATTTGCAAGTATAATCCTCCTCGCATTTGTTGACATGATTGAAATAAGGTACAAAATAAAAAATATAGCCGTTGGGAACTCGTTCTTTTACGTAGCACATATATGTTGTAAATGCATGCCTACTACGGTGTTGTTCTAGAAAGGACTTTCCACACTGAACAAGCTCTTCAATTGATGCATTATTTGCCTTGGATTTTAAAAGCTCAACTAAATTTTCAGCTGCTTCAAAATCACCGCACAACAAACCAAGAATCGGTGGGCTTTTGTGAATGGTTTGAATTTTGAGCTGATCTTGTATAACTAAAAAATAAATAAAAAAAATTGTACAAAATGCACATATAAGTAAACTGACAAATGAAAAAAATAATACTGGATTAATTGAAAATAATAGAAAGAGATAGAGAATATTACTTCTATCGTCATCAAGATCAACGATCCTCGCATCCGAACCCAATGTAAAGCCAAGGTCTAGAAGCATTGCCGAAACTATGGTACCCGATCCGCTCTTCTTAGATTTATATCGTTCAATGCTGTGGTGCTCACTTTTCGAGCTCATTTTCGACCCGGGAAAATCCGTCATTTAAAAAGCCACTCGTCAAATCTGCTGCGAGCTGATTTCCACAAACCTTCAACACCTTAACACTGCAAACCACGAAAAAGGTGCAATCTTTACTCTGAACATAGCACTACAGATGGAGAGAAAAATGCCAAAAAAATTCTTAAATCCTAAATTTTGAAAAGTCACAAACTTTCAAATCAACTGTAGGCCAAGAACCATGGCGCTGTGCTTTTGTCGAATATTTATGCCGATTCCAAGTTTGGGACGGAGTTAGAACTTGCAGCAAACTATGAAGGCAAAAGGTGTGAGGAAGCTTTCCGGTTGTAGCGTTCTAGAGGTCGATGGAGAAGTTCATGAGTTCCTTGTGGGAGACAAGTCCCATGTCGGTACGATGAAGTTGAGACAATGCTGGGAGAAATCTCCCAGCGGCTGAGGTTGGTGGGTTATGTGGCTAATACATTTGCTATGGAAGAAGAAGAAGAAAGAGGATGCATTGTGTAAACATGGCGAGAAGGTACAACCATAAAATTAACAAAAAAAAAAAAGAAAAAGAAAACATATTCCAAAAAAGAAAGAAAACAAAACTTACAATGCAGACAAATCACAATCCCAAATGAAGTTCCAGTTTTTCCGGAAAAATTTCAAACGATTTGATGAAATACTTGTTTGGAGACAGAAAAAGTATGAAAAAATGCAGGTTTCATTTGAGTTATGTGGCTAATACATTTGCTATGGATGAAGAAGAAGAGAGAGGATGCATTGTGTAAACATAGCGAGAAGGTACAACCATAAAATAAAAATAAAAAAACAAAACAAAACTTACAATGCAGACAAATCACAATCCCAAATGAAGTTCTGAACTCTTCGTGTGAAAATTTTTCTGGAAAAATTTCAAACAATTTGATGAAATACTTGTTTGGAGACAGAACAAGTATGAAAAAAATGCAGGTTTCATTTATGTTGCTGATTCATTTGAGTTGCTGGTGACGGTTTGTAACATGGCAAGTCCCCATTCGTCCACTCCTTTTGTAGTACAAAAACGATGTCATTGTCTGAAATTTTGTTTTACCGTACTCGTAATGAAAAATAATGAACGAAGACCAACCGGAAAACAAAATTTATGTTTGTTAAATATTGGAGAAGTTCTTATATTTCTTTGAAATTAACATTGTTCTTGTCTGAAATTCTGTCGATATTTCCATAAATTTGTGTATTGATATTTCTACCAACATCGATATTTAAACATTGATTTTATGTGAGAGCTAGTTTAATTAAATAGTTACTGAATATCTTCTTACCCAGCTGAATACAACCTTTATAGATGACACAAAAAATAAACTTTTTTACGCATTTTTCTATATCATTAGTAAAAATGCTTCATAAAGGCATGTCTTCAAGTAAATGCTTCGTGCAAAACTATTATAGAGTGAAAAAGAACACAATAACCCTAATGAACTAAAATGGATTAGGGTAGAGATATTTATCTGCAAACTCAGGACACCTTAACTTGCATATCATAAGTCAAGAAATTAGTTTCCATTAGGTGATGACAAGCATAGGTAGAGAGGTCCTATGAATATGCCAAAATATGTGATACCTCATTACAAAAGAAAAAGAATATCTAAGCCTGAAATACTCTGGACACTTACATCATTCTAAGTATTATAATATGGAGTTTAAATAAGTGAATCATATCTACATGAACTGAGAAGACTAATCCGCAAACTGCATAATGTTTTCAGGCTTACATGGTGAAATATGTAACAAATACATTCGGGGAGAAGACGGACTTTGCAGCTTCAACCCATATCAGAAAGCACAAGGAAACCAGAAAAAGTCTCCGGTCCTGATCAATTGCCTCTAAAGTTCTAAATTGTAGAAAATTAAATATGCAAATAGCAGTGTTCATAAGAATGTTTAAAGGATTGTGTGCAGAAGAATTAAGTTTTCAAGCAAGCATTGAAAGTTGAGATTACCTACTCCATGCAAGCCGTGTCCGCGGGTATCCGCAGAATTCATATATAACACATTCTAGTCTCCGTAAGTTTGGATATCTGAAAATCAGCGAGAAGTTTGGGGAATTGCTTGGTATGCCTAAGTGCTGATATTGCACCTCTAACCTGGTGAGATGACCAAACATTCAAAATAGTAAGTCACGAGTAACATATTTAAACGGGATAGATTTGCAACTATCCAATAATGCATTTTACCCTTCAACAGGATAGATTTGTTTTATGTGGCCGCACAAATATTAACCTATGGTCTTATTAGCATATAAGTTGTATCAACTTGTATAACCAAGTGAGGGGATAAGCTAAGTAAGCCAGAACACCTGGGTTCAGCCGTTCAGGCCCCCTTGTATTCTCGATCTCACTCTTTCAATCATCAAGTTCTTATTACTAACCTTATACTTCATGCTCAATTACGTTCTACACAAGTAATAAATAGTTACTAGTTCTACACGAGTGGCCGGCCTGCCAAATCACAAAACTTTTGTTAGTTCTAGAAACCTGATAAAGTCGAAAGCTAGAATTGTTGATCAAGGAAAGCTACACTCATTGATCAGTACTCAAACTCGAGGATGAGTAAGAGTAGCATTGTTCCATATATTGGAAAAAAAGAAATGTGACAGTTCCAAGCGAAATGCTGAAGATCTGTGTAATTGTGCGAAAAAATGTTTGGGAAAATTTCAAGGGTTGATGAAATGCTTGTTTCGAGGCAGAAAAAGAAAGAAAATATGCTGATTTCATTTGTGTTGCTGCCTCCCTCAGCTCTCCAGAGCTATACCCCAATGGACAAACTTTGCAAGAGGAAACATTCGCTGCCGAATGATGTGGAATATTACATTGAACTTTTCTAGTTGAATTTGTTTGCATGTTTGACCTTTTGTAACATGGCAAGCCACTGTTGGTCCACTCCTTTCGGACACATTGTAGTACAAAAACATCATCCTTGTCTGAAAATTTGATTTGCCCTGCTCGTAATGAAAAATAATGAACGAAGAGCAAGAAGAAACAAAAAATGCACATATTTTCCATACAACAATTTTTTGGGATCGCAGACATTATAAATTTTATGTAAGAGCTGATTTAATTAGATAGTTATTGAATATCTTCTTAATTAGCTAAATACAACCCTTATTTGATGACAACAATAAAAAAAAAATTGCACATTTTTCTAAACCATTAGTAAAAGCGACTCACTTGAAAACGCAGTCTATTTTCATAATCTTTACGATAATTATCTTTTGCATAAATAAATATAATAAAGACGAGAATTTTACGTTCAATCGACTACTCAATCTTTTTCCACTCAAGAACTAGTACTACTTGTTAGTTGTTTTCTTGTACGATCAGTATTAAATAAATGTCTCATGATATTTCCTTTTTCAATTTAGGGAAAAAAAGAAGAAGAAGATTGTATGTTTGTTGTATATTTAAAATATATTTTGAAAGGACAGAATATATTTTTCCCCTTCAATACAATTATGAAGGCTTGGGCCATTTGGGGAAATTTGCAAGTATTGTTCAATGGAACCATGAATGCAGCAGCTGCACTGCACAATTAACCCCAACAACAATTGAAACGAAACTAACAGAGAAGAACCATATGCACCCCAACATAAAATATCTACAAAACTCAAAAGACCAACAATAACACAGAAATGCAGAAGCTTGCCTGCTCGAGGGCAAGGTGTATGTGAATAGTTCACTACAATTGTCGATTAAAATCACACGCACACCCTTAAAGCAAAAACACCACCAGTTCAAGCAAATCAAATCAAAGCGAAACATCGATCCAAATTAATAGGCGCTGCACAGTTGATTCTCCAAGGCGAGTACATGCAAAGGACAACCAAATTAAGCACAGAAACACGAAACTATCTAGCTTAATTATTCCAAGACATACGTGGGTCCACAACAACATATATGTAACCTAAAGCACTAAAATGAAATGGTAATTCAAAAGCTGCAGCACACGTGCACCCAGTCCTCCTCAGCTTCAGCAATCAGCAAGTGGTATATGACCGAGGAAACAGAGGTGCAAGGGCGCATCCCCTCCATTTTCCTCAAGTAGTTTTTAAAATGCGGGCAGTCATTAAGCATGTGGGTACCAATCTCATAACAATAAACACACTCAAGAAAAACAGCACGCCCCCACTTTACTACATAGCCCTTGCCAACCTGAGTTACGCCCTTTGGGAGCCGTTTCCTCCAGGGGCGCATACCAGGAAAGTGTCCATACTCAGAGCAAATTGAACAAGTAGACGGCATAGAGGAAAATGTTCCTGGCTTGATTATGAGTTTAGGACGGGCTAGGCATGTGGGATTATTGTCCTCCTTGAGAGCAATCCCAGCGTTGGGTTTTGCTCGGGGGAAGGGGTCCAAAACAATGGCCCGAGGGCCGGTGGCGTCGCTCCAGCATGGGGGAGCCCGATGGAAGGGGGAGGCCCGAGCTCTGGGCCCGTGAGGGATTGCCAACCCTTGAGCCCGAGGTGGGGGTGACGTAAGGCTGACGCCAGGGTGGCGTCAGCGCATTATTTAAATTTTTTTGTGTCAGGCGCGTGCACCCTACCCGCGCGTGGGGGCGCGTCGCCGACACAAAAATCAGAAAAAAAAAAAAAAAAAAAAAAAAAAGAAAGTGTCCGTTACCGTTGGGAAGCCACGTGGCTTCCCACGGTGCGTTAGATCTTAACGGTCACTTAATGTGGACCGTTAGATCTCAACGGTAAAAAAAAAAAAAAGTCAGATTTAATATCCACCGTTCGATCTGAGATCAACAGTGGATATTAAAATGCTTTATAAATTAAAAAATAAATGAAAAAATAGTTTTAAAAATCTGAAAAGTTACCGTTGTGACACGTGACACAATCTGGAGTGTTGGAATTCAAATTTTTTTATATCCAACGGCAGAGATTAATTAATTGAATAAAAATTGTAAAAAATTCAAAAAAATATCTGAAAAATCTGAAAAAAATTGTAAAAAAAATTGTTTTTACTTTTCTATAAATACCTTCTCATTATCATCTACCTTACACAACAATTTCATATTTTCTCAACTACTTTCAATCACATTCCTTTCTTTGTCTCAAAGTTTGAATCCATTTTTTTTCAACAAAATGACCACTGGTGCAGGTACGAATTGGTCGCTTATTAAAGATGTTGCGTTGTGTACTAGCTGGGTTGAAGTTACTCATAGTTCGCTTACGGGTAATGAGATGCAGTTGCGAGAAATGTGGAGTCTTATTCATACCAATTTTCTTGAGAAAATTGGTGGGAAAAGAACCAAAGAATCGATGTCCAGTCGTTGGAAATTACTTAGCCAATCGTTTAGTACGTGGAGAGACGCTTTGGCACAAGCTAGTAGTAATATTCGAAGTGGGGAAAATTACTCGGATCAGGTAACAATATATTATTTATTTGATATCCAAATTTACATTATAATTATTTGTTTGTATTATTTATTTGTTATCTACATAATTTATTATTTATTGTTTGTATTATTTATTTGTTACGTACAAAATTTATTATTTATTGTTACTTATTTGTTACATTATAATTATGTTGTTTGTATTATTTATTTGTTTGTTACATTATAATTATGTTGTTTGTTACATTATAATTATGTTATTGTTACTTATTTGTTACATTTATTTGTTACATTATAATTATGTTGTTTGTATTATTTATTTGTTACTTATTTTCATTAAAATTAATGTATAATATCACTTACATTAAGAAAAAAAAATGTGTATATTTAAGGTTAAAATTATTTACTAAACTTGGAACTCTAGCCTCATGTTATGATTAACATGACATATATATATATATATATATATATATTTGCTAGGTATACATTTGCATGATAATTATTTATTATAATTATTTATTTGTTACTTATTTTCATTATTTACTAAACTTGAAGCCTTCTTACTTATTTTCATTATATTTGTTACTTACATATATATATGTATATATTTGCTAGTTACTTATTTTCATTATAATTATTTATTTGTTACTTATTTTCATTATAATTATTTATTTGTTACTTATTTTCATTATTTACTAAACTTGAAGCCTTCTTACTTATTTTCATTATATTTGTTACTTATATATATATATATATGTATATATTTGCTAGTTACTTATTTTCATTATAATTATTTATTTGTATTATTTATTTGTTACTTATTTTCATTATTTACTAAACTTGAAGCCTTCTTACTTATTTTCATTATATTTGTTACTTATATATATATTTATATATTTGCTAGTTACTTATTTTCATTATAATTATTTATTTGTTACTTATTTTTATTGTGTAGGAACTTCAAGCACAAGCTTGGTACGCTGCCAAAACCAAATGCAAAAAGCATCTTTTTTTTGCACAAAATAAGAATCATGGTTGCAAACAGCAATCATGATTTTGTTGAACAAATGTCGTTCCATTCTAAAACGACGTCTAAAGTACGTATCAAGGAATGCACTATTAGGAACAAAATAATCATTCAAGAGTTCCATACCTCGTCGTTGCCTGCTTCTATCAAGGTTTCTGGAACGGCTGGGCCTGCAGATCTGAGCCGCAGCTTCGATGACTCGACGGAAATGTGAGGCTTTGCCCCTTCTTACTTCGTCATCTCTCATTTGACGCTCCTCATCCTCTTCCCTCTCATTTCTTACCCCCTGGTGATTGAACATTGCTTCTGATTCGTTAAACAATTCTTCCTCTTCCTGATTGAATTCCCACATCATCCTTGAGGAAGAAGAAGAAGACATTGAAAGAAAGAAACAGAAACTATGAATAATGATTCAGATTTTTGTGAATAAGGAAGCAGAAACTATGAATAATGATAGAGATCTTGAGAATTTTGGTGTGAGATTTGTGAGGATGGATGGTGGATTATATAGAGGATTCAGAAAGGATTAGGTTGTGCATAATGCCACGTGGCATGCCGTCATTCATTACAAATCTGATGGAAATCTATCCTCAAAGATTGTGAACAGATTATGACACGTGGCATGTCGTCATTCGTTAAAAATCTGATGGAAATCTATCCTCAAAGATTGTGAACCGATTATGACACGTGGCGCGACGTGATTGGTTAATAATCTTATTAGAAATTCATCACCAATAATTGTATTGTTTTGTATTATTTAATAATACTTCGGATAATGACACGTGACGCAACGAGAACGATTAAAAATCTTATCCGATATTACAATTAAAATTATTTTGTATTATTTTATAAATAAAAAAGATACTAATATTTTATTGCTTATTGCCAGGGCTATTGAAGTGTAACAGTGGAGATGCAAATTCTATTGCCAAGGCTACTTACTGTTCATTAAGGGCAGTTACTGTTCATTAGGTGGATTGAATAGTGTATTGTCAGGGAGGAGGGCTCTAACGCTGGAGTTGCTCTAAGAAAAGATGGAAGAGTATTCTTCTCCTCAAGCTGGAGTTGAGTCTGAGAGTCTTGAGCAGCCTCTACTTTTGTGAGATGAGTTGTCGGAGAGTCTTTAACAGAAATTTTTTCTTTATTCTTATCTGCATGTGGGGCATAACAAAAAAAAAAAAAAAAAAAAAATCAAATTAACTAAATATGTTTCAACAAGCTGGAGTTGAGTCTGAGAGTCTTGAGCAGCCTCTACTTTTGTGAGATGAGTTGTCGAAGAGTCTTTAACAGAAATTTTTTCTTTATTCTTATCTGCATGTGGGCCATAACAAAAAAAAATAATAATAAAATAAAAAAAAAAGTCAAATTAACTAAATATGTTTCAACAAGCTGGAGTTGAGTCTGAGAGTCTTGAGCAGCCTCTACTTTTGTGAGATGAGTTGTCGGAGAGTCTTTAACAGAAATTTTTTCTTTATTCTTATCTGCATGTGGGCCATAACAAAAAAAAAATAAAAAAAAAAAAAATCAAATTAACTAAATGTGTTTCAACAAGCCGGAGTTGAGTCTGAGAGTCTTGAGCAGCCTCTACTTTTGTGAGATGAGTTGTCGGAGAGTCTTTAACATAAATTTTTTCTTTATTCTTATCTGCATGTGGGGCATAACCAAAAAAAAAAAAAAAAAAAAAAAAAAAAAAAAAAGAATCAAATTAACTAAATATGTTTCCACAAATTATGAGAGTGAGGACATTCGTAACTTGAGACCACTTTAATTAGAAAGAGAGTAAATACTATACCAATACCTAATAACTGGTAAGATACCTAATATATGAAAGCAAAAAAAATTTGACCTTTCACAATTAATAGCATTTTTAATAAGTTAATTTACAATTCCCACTCTCACACTCTCAGAAATACGAAACACGTTTTCAATGGAGAACTGAAAAACTGCTACTCTCCCTATTCATACTATTCTCAAACACAACATCGTAAAAGAAACGAGAAGCTCGCGAGAGAAGACGAAACTAAACGAATTGCAATCCCTATGTGGGTGGGTAATTCCTACAGGTATGTCTCAGACTTTCCTCCCGATAGTTCTTAAAGCTCTAAAAGCTCTGTAAGTTCTGCTTTAATTTTGTTGACAGGAGTTAAAAGAATTTCGTGTTTCTGACATCTGAAGCAGCAAAAGCAGTCCTCAAGAAGACAGTGCGATACTTAATTGATTGAGAAATGAGTATCTAGCTTAGCTACACAATTCGGTTTAATATTCATTGTAAATTAAATCTCTGGCTATTAATAATTAAACACTAAAAAAAAATTAGGCATCAAGTCAAGCAAAACCTTAAAAACAGGGTGCAGATTGCAACAAACATATGCAGCCGGAATTGAAATGCATGAAACCCTAATTAAACACAATGCTGCTGCCAATCTTCCCCTAAAAGCAAAAATTGAAACAGAGAATCGTCCCCTCACAAACCCTAAAACCTAAAATTGAAACAGAGAATCGTCCCCTCACAAACCCTAAAACCTAAAATTGAAAAGAATACCAATACTAGGAGTCCGAATCTCACCTCGGAGCTTTGTGGCTTGGGCCGGAATTGGATTCCCCCCCTCCGCGGATTCTCCTGGTCCGCCTTCGAATCGGCGTTTCATTCTTTTGTGCTTGTCACAGAGAGAGAGATGTTTGTTTTTGTCAAACAGAGAGAGATGTTTGGCGACAATGCTTATTTTTCTGAATAGTTTTGGGGATACTTAAACTTTCAACGATTTGACTATAATACCCTTCTCGTTTAACAGAAAACAGATTATGTTTTCTTTTCCTTATTTCTATTTATTTTGCGTGTAAAATTAATCATGGATAAATTACATTTTACCCCTTCAGTTTGGGATCAATTGTAACTTCATATAACATTTTTAAAATATTTCAATTTCATACATTTAGTTATATTTCTTTTCAGTTTCATACATTCGTTAAAAAATCTGTTAAGTTAATCGTTAAGTGATAACATGGCAAATATAGAGTCTACATTTGTGCTGACATGGATGCCAACCTTGCACCTTGTGAATTAAAAATAATGAAAAAATGATTAGTTAGTAAAAAAATCAATTTAGGTATAATTAAAAACTTAAAAAATTGAAAAGAGGATCTGGGCAAAGCTTGCCCCAATAACCCCATCTTCTCCTCGACTCCATCCAATTTCCTCTCTGCTTGTTTGCAACCAAAAATTTGATTCTTGGTTTGGGAAGCTTCTTTCGCCACTGCCTCCTCCTTGATTCGACTCTATCCCCTTCTGCATGTTCGTCTCTAACAAGTCCATCAACAACATCCTTACCGACTTTGTCGTCCTCGACGCCGCACCCTACATGGGACTACTTTCTATAAAGCACTTTAGGTGGTTCTACTACTTCCATTTCTCCCAACGACAAGTTATTTCCCGTTTCTTCTCCCCCATCATCGACTTTTTCCGTCACAGACGATGTTGTCGCGGCAGCCTCTTGCACTGCTACAGCTTCCCGCACTGACAACGATTCCTCCTCGTTCAGCATCGCTGTCAAGCACTATCTTAGCGAGTCTTTCGTAACCTCATCGGCTGCGAACCACACGGAGCTCTAGCACATGAACATCATTAATTATTTATGAGTTACGTAATTTCACAACATGAAAGCAAAACCTGACTAGTTTAAGAGTCAGTTGGAGAAGGACAGGGGGCACAATTTGGAGACGGCATCATCTTGGTGCTCTCCTTGGGCTGCTTCATTTGTGCGTTCCTTTAAGCAATCACTTATATTGGGTGCTACGTTCTGTAGCTTTTGAGAGAGAAATTTGTTATGTATTTTTGTCTTACACAAACAAAGAACCAATCCAAACCAACCCACTACTGTCAGTTAACCAACTTGATTGATTTTAGACCCAATTTAGTTGGTTTCGATTCACAATTTTTGCCCAACCAACCGACACCCACCCCTATTGTGAACTACAATTGTCGATTAACGCACATCCTCAAAGCAAACACCACCGGTTCAAGCAAATCAAATCAAATCAAAATGTCAATCCAAATTAACTAAATATATTTCAACAAATTATGAGAGTAAGGACATTAGTAACTTGAGACCTCTTCAATATTAGAAAGAGAACAAACACTATACCAATAACTAACAACTCTTAAGAAACCTAAAATATGAAGTAAATTTTTTTTACCTTTCGCAATTAATAGCATTTTAATAAGTTAATTTGCAATTATCCTATAAGCTGTATCAACTACATAGTTAAAGTTAACAATTTGTATAACCAAGGGATAAGCTAAGTAAGCCAGAACACCAGGGTTCAGGCCCCCTTGTATTCTCGATCTCACTCTTTCAATCATCAAGTACTTATTACTACCACTTCTACTTCATGCTCAATTACGTTCTACACAAGTAACAAATAGCTACTTGTTCTACACGAGTGGCCGGCCTGCCAAATCACAAAACTTTTGTTAATTCTAGAAACCTGATGAAGTCGAAGGCTAGACTTGCTGATCAAGGAAAGCTACACTCATTGATCACTCAAACTCGAGGGTGAGTAAGAGTAGCATTGTTCCATATTTTGGAATGAAACGTGAAATAGAGATCCACTAACCGCAACCAATGTTCCATATATTGGAAAAATGATTTGCTCATGGAACGGCATACATCCAGTATCTGGTATGCAGCTGGAAGCAAGATTAGCTTCAGCATTATCTAATATTTCATCCAACTCTTTAGCCATCCGTAGAGCCGTAAGTACAAACAGTATACGAAAATGAAGAGATGATATGTTCTCAAACTTCATTAAAAATTTCCTGCCGGAACTTTATTATTCAATTTGGCACAATTAACCACCATTTTTGGTTTTGGAAACGAACTCAAAACTAACAATCGCCACAAAAGATAGAGAAGGACCATATGAACACCAACCACTATTACTTAACCGAAATATCCACAAAACTCAAAAGTCCAATGACTCGGAAATGCGGATGCTTGCCTGCTTGAGGGCAAGGTGTATGTAAATCATTCACTACACAACTGCTCGAGGGCACATATCGATCGCGAATCACATCCTACTTTTTAGAGATTTTTCGTATCGATGTGTCATGTCGTATCGTAACATCGTATCCATATCCATGTCCGTACTTCATAGCTTTCTACCAAAAAACATAGAATATGCTTTGAATTTACTGCTGCTCTCAAGCAACCAAGTACTAGTGAGCATGAACAAGAACAGAGTTTTTTAGACCAAATCATGCCATGATTATCGCAACGATGGAAGGTTCATGATAATTTTTGTTATTTTCACTTCATACACTGACTCGAGAATGCAGAAGCTTGCCTGCTCGAGGGCAAGGTGCATGTAAATCATTCACTACATCTGTCGATTAAAAAACACACGCACACCCTCGAAGCAAACAACATCAGTCCAAGTCAATCAAATCAAAGCGTTGATCCAAATTAATAGGCACTGCACAGATGTGATATTCCAAGGCAAGGGACAGCCAAATCAAACACAGAAAACACCCAACAACAAAGTATATATATCCGCGACGACAACAGAGCTATCTAGCTTAATTATTCCAAGACATACGTGGGTCCACAATAAAATATATATAACATAGAGCACTAAAATGAAACAATAATTCAACAGCTGCTGCATACATGCACCCAGTCGTCCTCAGCTTCATCAATCATCAGGTGATGTATCGAACCAACAGGGGTGCAAGGGCACATCCCCTCCAGTTTCCTTGAGTAGTTTGTTCCAATCCGGGTGGTCAGGAACCCTGTGAGTACCACTCTAATGACAATAAGCACACTTAAGCAGAATAACACACCGCCCATCTACTACATAGCCCTTGCCAACCTGAGTTACGCCAATGGGGACCTGTTTCTTCCAGGCGCATTGATTCGGCCAGTGGCCAGGCTTAGTGCAAATTGGACAACTAGATGGCAATTTGAGAGTAGCCTTGTCTGGAGAAACTAGGTCACAACACAAAGATCTGTCCAAATGAGAAATCCAGGGACCAAGAGACAAATATATAGTGAAAAAGAACACAATAACCTTAATGAACTCCAAATTACTTAGGATAGAGACATATATCTGCAGACTTAGAACATCACGGGGAGTTACGCCTTAACATACATATATTATAAGCTAAGATAAGATAACAAAGGACCATGATTGAGATGAGAGTAAATCCAAATCCTCCACATACAAGCCAAAGTGAGAAACAATCGATATCCAAAATGAAATGTGAAATAGAGATCCACTAACTGCAACCAAGATTCCATATATTGGGAAAATGATTTGCTCAAGGGACAACATAGCTGGAAGCAAGATTAGCTTCAGCATGATCTAATATTTCATCCAACTCTTAGCCATATGTAGAGCCGTTAAGTACAAACTGTATACTAAAATGAAGAAATGGTATGTTCTCAAACTTCATTAAAAATTTCATGCCGGCACTTTAATATTCAATTTGGCACAATTAACCACCATTTTTGGTTTTGGAAACGGACTCAAAACTAACAATCGACACAAACGAAAGAGGAGGACCATATGAACATCATTACTCAAACAAAATATCCACAAAACTCAAAAGACCAACAATGACTCGAGAATGCAGAAGCTTGCCTGCTCGATAGCAACGTCTATGTAAATCATTCACTACATCTGTTGATTAAAAAACACACGCACACCCTTGAAGCAAACAACACCAGTCAAGCCAATTAAATCAAAGCGTTGATCCAAATTAATAGGCACTGCACAGATGTGATATTCCAAGGCGAGTGCATACAGAGGACAGCCAAATCAAACACCCAACAATAACATAGAAAATCGGGTGATCCTTCTTGCTTGGTTTGAATTCATCTTCAATTTTCTTGTCGTAATCTCGTAGTCATCGGCAGTATCAACATTTTTCACCCTCATTCCATCAGAAAACAGTAAATACGAATGATGGTGTGCATCACTTGCACCCGATCCATCATTGTAAACATCAGCATAATGCAACTCCCGATCACCGCATCTAATCCCAACTATTGGACACTTACAACTATAGTCTTCTTTGCATTCTTTGTCATGATTGAAATTAAGGACATAATAAAAAATGTGGCCGCTTGGAACTCCATGTTCTATGTAGCATACATATGTTGAAAATGCAATCCTACGTCTTGGTTTACAAAGGCAGTTCTACTGTTAGCAATTGCTTCCATTGATGCATTACTTTTTGCCTTAAGACTTTAAATTATCAACTAAATTCTCCGTTGCTCCAAAGTCACCGCACACCTAACCAACAATAGATGGGTTTTCGAGGATTGTTTGAATCTTAAGGTTATCACTTATTACTCAAGAAAAAAAAATGCAAAATGCACATCTAAAGACACTGAAAATAAAAAAGAATAGTGGATTAATCGAAAATAATAAATAAAGATAAAGAAAATTATAGAGAAAATTACTTCTAGTGTCTTCAAGATCGACAATCCTTGCATCCGATCCCAATGTAAAGCCATGCTCCAAGAGCATGGCTGAATAGATTACTGCAGAAAGTGACTTTTTAAATGACAGATTTTCCCGGGTACTAAAGTTTTACCCATGCTCTTGGAGTATGGCTTCACATTGGGATCGGATGCAAGGATCGTCGATCTTGAAGACACTAGAAGTAATTTTCTCTATAATTTTCTTTATCTCTATTTATTATTTTCGATTAATCCACTATTTTTTTTATTTTCAGTGTCTTTACATGTGCGTTTTGTATTTTTTTTCTTTAGTAATAAGCTAAAATTCAAACCATTCTCAAAAACCCACCTATTGTTGGTTTGGTGTGCGGTGATTTTGGAGCAACGGATAATTTAGTTGATAATTTAAAGTCGTAAGGCAAGTAATGCATCAATGGAAGCACTTGCTAACAGTGGAACTGCCTTTGTAAACCAAGACGTAGGGTTGCATTTTCAAAATATATATGCTACATAAAACATGGAGTTCCAAGCGGCTACATTTTTTATTATGTCCCTGATTTCAACCATGACAAAGAATGCAAAGAAAACTATAGTTCTAAGTGTCCAATAGTTGGGATTAGACGCGGTGCTCGAGAGTTGCATTATGCTGATGTTTACAATGATGGATCGGATGCAAGTGATGCACACCATCATATATATATATATATATATATATATATATATACTTTCTTTTTTTTTTTTTTTTTGGTTGCTCCTTGTACCTAGCTTTGAAGGTGGTATGTATTTTTAATTAACAATTATAGTGAGTGATTTTGGGTTAAACCATTCATCAGCCTATAACTCCTATGCTAATCTCAATTAAAATCATACATATCAAATTGTGTGTGTAAATTAAGCACCCCACTTCTGCAGTATGATTCTGTAACTATTAATTTATTTTTTTAATTTTGTTATTAGTTTAATTAGTATTTTCTTTGATCTTTAATTGAATAGTATTATTTCATTGTATATAGGTTTTTAATAGACAAAATTATCCGTCCAACAAACAAAAAAGGTGATGAAACAATAAAAGCCTTTCAATTTTAAGTTTCAAGTTCTCATTTCCTTGAAAGTTAAAAACTAAAAATTGAAAGCCAAATTCGAAAAACTCGTGGCCTTTTGACATCTAATTCATTTTCAACTTTTTGAAAATTGAAGACCAATTTGATTACCACTTTCAATTCCCACCAATTTTGTGATATCCAAACTTACAAAGACTAGAATATGTTATCTTGGAATTTTGTGGATACCTGTGGAACTCCGTCAGTTTGGATATCTCAAATCAGCAGAAAGTCTAGGGAATTCCTCGACATAACTAAGTGCTGATATTGGACCTCTGGCCTGGTGAGATAACCAAACATTCACAATTGTAAGTCACAGTAACTTCAACGGTATAACAGACAGATACAAAGTGAAAATTACAGAACTCTCAAAGGGCATGAAGAACAGATGGCAAAACACATATAATTCAGGTCAAACTTACTTCTAGGTAAACTCCAATTGCATTGGCCAACTCTAGACGAACAACATTGTAGGCTGTAACCTCCCCAGATGATGTTGCATCCGTGTTTTTAACACTTCGCACCTAAAACCCCAGATCAATGAAAAGAGTCAATCGCGTACACTGAATCTAAAACAACAATTAGCAGTGTATAAAAGAAATTTTAAATGACTGTACGAAGAATTAATAATTCAAGCGAGCATTATAGCTGATATTACCTATTCCATGTGAGGCATTTCCACAGGCATCTGCAACATTTTATAAGGTTGCCCAAAACTTTTAGAAATACCTCTGTGATTGCTTTCTCGTCTATTTTCTGAGAACACAAAACATAACTATATCAAAATACTTCACATTAACAAGTCTATTTCGATACTCATACGTCCCTTATAACATGAAAGAAAAGATGACCATACCAAGAAGCAATAATCAACAGGAAGTCTGGGGAATCGCTCGGTATTATACCTAAGTGCAGATATTGCACTCTAACCTTGTGAGATTAACTAAATATTCAAAATTTTAAGTCAAAAGTAGCTTCAACTGTGTGACTAAATATTACATGCAAAAAAGTAAGATCAGATACATTAAAACATATTTCACAAGACAAAAGATACTCGTTTATAGTTTTGTGATTTATGATTACTAACCTAAGTATTTTTTGGACCAGCCATGGCCAAAGATAGATAAGATACAACGGGAACGTAACAGGACTCTTGATTGAAAGTAATTCCCGACGAAAAATGCATCTCGAAAAAATCCAAGTACGTATGCAAACATCATATCTCACTGGAAATTTGAGGGAACGTCTTGAGAAGAAGAAGTTAAAGCTTACCGAGTCGGGGACGGTTGGATTCGTCGAGAGTCAAAACATAAACTTCCGTTTTCCTCCGAACGTGGCACGGCCAAGGAGTAGCAGAGGGCCCTAGGTAGTTTTGGGAAGTTTGAAAGGTTGGTCATTGAAGATGGTTTAGTGGCGGTTCTCTGTTTTTCCGAGAGGGGGAAGGAGAGTTATGGAGGGGGAGAGCAGGCAGGACAGGCATAGAGATGGCGAGCAAGGAGAGAGGCAAGAGGGGCAACGGGAGAGGTTTGAGCAGAGTGTGTGATGGATGATGGTTGAAAAGACTGGGCTTTTGAAACCCATCAAAACTATATTTTAATTCCCAACAGCTCTCAGTTTAATTTCCACCAGAAACAAGGGCAGGGCATTCTTCCCTGCACTCAAACGAGAGCAGGGCTTCTCTATTGCTCCTCAAACTGTTTGGACAATCTCTTTACAGAAGATATTGTAAGAACCTAAGATCTAAAAACGAGAAAGAAGGATTCTGAGCTAAAAAGAAGGATTCAGTTTGGTGTGTGAATGATGATCGATGTAGAGTTTATATAGACCAAAAAAGAAAAAGGATAAGGTTCTAGACACTGCCACATGAACACTACGTGATTGGTTAAAATATTATCGAAATCTCAGCTAAATTATTGTAACAAGATAGTGACACGTGGCATGTTGGAATTGGTTAAAAATCTAATCGGAAATCTATCCACAAAATAGTACGTTCGGATAATGACAAGTGGCGTGACAAGATTAGTTGAAAATCTTATCGAAATCTTGGCTAAATTATTGTAAACATATAATGACACGTAGCGTGACGAGATTGATTAAAAATCATATCCAAAATTAAAACTAAATTTAAATAAAATTTATTATTTTATAAAAAAAATTAATAATATTTTAAATGAACTGGGTGCCAACGCATTTTGTAGGGTTAGAGATCGTTTGCGCCAATGCATTTCTAGATTTTGTGCTAGCGCATTTTTTAGAGTTGAAAATGTATTTGACCAATTTACTGTTTATAGAATCTATCAATGTTCACTGAGTGGATTAAATAGGCTGAATGTCAGCGTATTTTTTTTTTTTTTCAAATAGTTGGACTTGCTCTCAAAATTAAATCCGAGCAGTGGTGCGCTTTGCACGAGGGAAATTTCGAATTTGGAGCTGTCCCGCGTAGATTTACACAGTCTCGGTATAACTTTGTTCATTATAATTCTAATTTGAGTTCCATTTCCGGCCATCTGTTTGTTAAAATGAGTACCATTTTAAATGAGTAAAATAAGAGTTGAAAGGTGAAGAAAAATTGAGGTCCACGATGAGGGTTTCCGTAATGTCTCAAGGGCATTTGGTAATTTCATTACTACTGAAAATACAATACATTAAATTTCAAAATGAGATGTCACGTATCATTTATGAAAATAATTTTTTTTTTTTTAAATCATCTTTGTACATATATAAACTCCTATTGGTACATATGTTGATATATAAATATATATATATATATATATAATACCTGCAGCATAAATTAGTCAACATAATTAACCAGTGACAGGGGTCGAAGAAAAATTAAGACAATTTACTTGTTATGGATGTAGAAGAAATTGGGATATAAACTGTGAGTATGAAGAATGATGCACAATATTTAATTTTAGAAAAATTAGTATCCGGTCTCTATTTACTAATGTTTATTGACTGAGATCTTATTAGTTGTTAAATTTTAATCAAGGTCCCTCTTATTAATGTACTAATGAGTCAATTACATAATTATTAAAAATAAAAATTAGTAATTGATTTAGGATTTTAATACTCATACCTTCATTAAACTCCTAATTACTTTTCAATTCAAAGCATTTTCAAAATTAAATTAAAATAAGTTTATACCTATTAATTTTTTATAAAAATAATTTTCAAATTTTTAATCTTAAATGTACACATTCATATAATATTTCAAATTTTAATCTTAAATAAGTTTGTATTGCATCTCTAACGACCTATATAAGTATACCAGAAACCATTTGGCAAGTCAAGGGACCCTGATCATCTGGGCACTATTCTTCCATAGGACCTCCCCTACAGTATCGTCATGAAATGCATAGGATACACACACACACACACACACACACACACACAAAAGTAATTCAAAGGAAAAATAAAAATATTTGATAGGATCATTTTCGGAATAGGATACACACACACACACACACACACAAAAGTAATTCAAAGGAAAAATAAAAATATTTGATAGAATCATTTTCGGAAACATAAAATGTAAGGGGAAAAAAATGTTATGACTTCCCTACAACGTAAATGGAAATGTAAGACAGGATCCTATTAAGAGAGCTCATGTCATGTAGACTAATCTTATAAACGAATGTTATACAAAATCGATCTGTTAAGCTATTTTTTTCTAACCTTTATTTTAAACTTATATTGTCACATCCCGATCCGGGGTCCACCACATCTCGGGCCCGCTCCACCACCGTAGTACGATATTGTCCGTTTTGGACCCCGACCATCCCCTCACGGTTTTGTTTCTGGGAACTCAGACGAGAACTTCCCAATGAATCATCCATCATGGGAGTGGTCTCGTGCGCTACTCGCTTAACTTCAAAGTTCCATGGAACCCGAAGCCAGTAAGCTCCCAAAAAGCCTCGCGCTAGATAGAGATGGGAATATACATATAAGGATCACTTCCCTGGACGATGTGGGTGTAGACATCGAAATTTCGGTGAAACAAATGTTCACCAACGCATTAAAGTTTTGACGTGTCAAGGCATCCATGGCATACGCCACGTGTTGTACAAATTGTACACATGGCGTGTGACTCAACAAAATAGGAAGAAATACCCTTGAAGGATTAAACAAGTTTTTTCTTCTCATTTTGGGCAATGACAAGGCAAGTACATTTCAATCCATTGAGGATCAAAACAAGTTTTTCTTCTCATGTTGGGCAATGACAAGGCAAGCACACTTCAATCCATTACGGATCAAAGTAAGTTTTTCTCATTTGGGCAATGACAAAGCATACACATTTCAAGTTTAAAATGGTGTTAAGTGGGAATTAGGCCATAAGTTACACCACTTCAAGTTTAAAATGGTATTAAGTGGGAATTTAGGCCATAAGTTACACCACTTCAAGTTTAAAATAGTATTAAGTGGGAAATTAGGCCATAAGTTACACCACTTCAATTTCAATATTGCATTAAGTGGGAAAATTAGGCAATGGTGCTTGGAAAGGAAAAAAATATTTTGTGGTGGTGATTCATTCTCAAAGCCTATAAATAGGCTTCTCCATCAAGGTACCAAAATCAACCAATTCACAAATACATTTCTCTACTCCCAAAATGGAAGAGAATACTCCCCACACACCAAAACCTTGAAGCCTTAAAGTTCTAAAGCTCTCAAGAAAATCCCAAAGGATCAAGAAAGCCCTCTTCATTCTTCGTCAAATCCTCCTTCAAGATCAAGCCCGACGGCCCTTGAAGAACTTCCACCAACTCAAGATCAAGCCCCGACGGCCCTTGAAGAAAGTGTTCATCGTTCATCCTAAGATCAAGCCCCAACGGCCCTTTGGATCAACAACATCAACAAATCCACACATCCAACCGTTCTTCAAGATCAAGCCCAAAAGCCCTTGAAAAAATCCACACAACCATTCTTCAAGATCAAGCCCCGACGGCCCTTGAAGAAAGTGTTCATCGTTCATCCTAAGATCAAGCCCCAACGGCCCTTTGGATCAACAGCACAAACAAATCCACACATCCAATCGTTCTTCAAGATTAAGCCCCGACGGCCCTTGAAGAACTTCCACCAACTCAAGATCAAGCCCCGACGGCCCTTGAAGAAAGTGTTCATCGTTCATCCTAAGATCAAGCCTCAACGGCCCTTTGGATCAACAACATCAACAAATCCACACATCCAACCGTTCTTCAAGATCAAGCCCAAAAGCCCTTGAAGAAATCCACACAACCATTCTTCAAGATCAAGCCCCGACGGCCCTTAAAGAAAGTGTTCATTGTTCATCCTAAGATCAAGCCCCAACGGCCCTTTGGATCAACAGCACAAACAAATCCACACATCCAATCGTTCTTCAAGATTAAGCCGAAAAGCCCTTGAAGATCCGCTCATCCATCAACCTTCAAGATCAAGCCCAAAAGCCCTTGAAGAAATCCACACAACCATTCTTCAAGATCAAGCCCCGACGGCCCCTTGAAGAAAGTGTTCATCATTCATCATCCGTTCATCCTAAGATCAAGCCCCAACGGCCCTTTGGATCAACAACCTCAACAAACCCATACACCCATTCTTCAAGATCAAGCCCAACGCCCCTTGAAGATTCATTCATCATCGTTCATCCTAAGATCAAGCCCCAACGGCCCTTGGATCAACAAACAAATCCACACATCCATTCTTCAAGATCAAGCCCAAAAGCCCTTGAAGAAACGCTCATCCATCAACCTTCAAGATCAAGCCCCGAAGGCCCTTGAAGAAACTTCCATCAACCTTCAAGATCAAAGCCACGAAGGCCCTTGAAGAAACTTACAACTATTCATCCAAGATCAAGCCTCGACGGCCCTTGGATCAACAAATCTACATCTTACGGAGATAGAATCAGAGGATCAAATTACAAAGAGATCGTAACCCCAAAATCATTAAACCCAAAAATATTATTTTGTACACGTTATTCTTGTTTCCTGTTTCAAGGAACTTTCGTGTTCACAGTGGGATGTCACAATCCATCCCCCTTACGATTTTGTTTCTGGGAACTCACACGAGAACTTCCTAGTGGGTCACCCATCATGGGAGTGCTCTCGCGTGTTACTCGCTTAACTTCGGAGTTCCCATGGAACCCGAAGCCAGTGAGTTTCCAAAAGGCCTCATACTAAGTAGGGATGAAAATATATATATAAGGATCACTCCTCTGGACGATGTAATATGTCACATATATGGGGTACATAATTTTTCTTTGATTTAAGAATGTTCCCGGTCAAGTTTAATCAAAGAATTTACCAAATTTATTAAGCCTAGTATCTATTATTTTGGTTTTGAAAAATGTACTCATATTTTGGTACAATAATTTTTTAATTTTTATAAATGTACCCATGTTTCTGGCGCTCAAAAATTTTCCCAAAGTGAAGATGACGAGGGAGGGTTCGGCGATTTGTGAAAACTTACATTATGTTTGGATGAAGGAAATAAACTTGGAATTTGGATAAAGTCATAATTTATAAATTGAAATGCACCAATTCCTTTATTTGGATTTATAAATATAGAAATTTAGAATTTATGTGTGAAAAAAAAAAAAACTTGGAATTTGGAGCTTCTAATTCCCAAGTTTAAATTCCATGTAAATAGGTGTCATTTCCCAATTTCTATGATTAAGAGTTTAAAATTAACAAATTCCATTCTCAATTCTATTGTTCTTTTAGATTAACCAAACAAGAAAATTCATAAATTATAGAAAATAAAATCTCATCATTTTAATTTCTGTCATTTTAAAATTTCTTAATAATCTTACATTTTTTCATCCAAACATAGTGCTAAGAAATTTTAGTTATGGGGTAAGCAAACCATTGCATCATAATCCCTTTTACACACACATATACATAATAATACTCCATCATAAATTGCATCTAGCTAGTTGACACACATATATTGAATAATATATACATGATTTATCTAAAATGGCAACACGAAAGTGATTCCTTGTTATTATTTATAAGAGTAATGATATATAATCTAAATTTGCAAATTAAATTATGTGTCACTAATTAAAAATAAGCACGTTAATTAATACTTAAATAATAATCCAATCATCAACTTATGTCATTAAATTTGTAAAATTTGATCTCTCTAACATTACTTTATTTACAAAATGGTACCACTAGATCGTAATTAATATGCCAAGTTTATTGTTAAATTGAGCAAAGAGAAGCACAATACATAAGTACTTAAGAAATAATTTTTAGGGCTAGCTATGGATTAGCATATGTCAATCCAGAACCACGTAACCTCTCATCTATGATCTGATCCATACGTTTTGCCATGTCATCAGTGATGAAGTTCTTCCAATCCCCAACTTGGCCTTTCCTGAAGAAGTCACTGTTCTGAAAGACAATATTGGCTTTAACAAAGTACTGTTGGGTCCTGGAGGTTAAGACTAATAATGTTTTGTTTCGTGTGCAAGAATGATCTTTTAATGATTACCTACATAAAAAAATAAGTACTTTGATAAATTGATCATGAGAAATATTGTCGAGTAACTAGTGGTTACCAAGATATCAATTACTGCCTCTTTAATTGTTTATTCGTTTTGTTTTAAAAATATGATCCAAATGTGGTATAAAAAAAGTGATAAAAATAACATTCTTATCTTGTTTGTACTCAAACTTTAAAATTTTGTTTCGAGTGCCCAAATTGCATTTTCTGTTATAAATAGGTAAAAATTAAAGAGATAATCTTTATTAGTGACAGAAGCAAAACATATGTAAAATATTACACTATAATTATAGTACAAGAAGATAACAAATAAAAGAGGTAGGAATAGATACTGATGTTATTGATATTTCCCTTCTTACTCTGTTTGTCTATCTTATAGTCGAAGTGCTCTATTTATAGAGTAACTTCAAACAAACATTTTGAAATTTACAGTACACATCTTTAAAAGTACGATCCTCCTTTATCTCACAAATCAATATCATTTTATATGAACATTAAAAATTTATGTGGACATTTATAACACTACCAATATTTTCAATACTCATTGAACATTACTAATGCTTTCAACACTCTCGTTGTTTTCGATTTTTGTTTGTTTTTTATCATTGCTATAGTGAAAACGTCAGAATTGTCCATGCCAGGTGTCGATTATCGTGCATTGCTCTTTTGGGTCTTTCACTTTTCTTTCCGTTTCTTAATTTCATTTAGTCTTTTGTCTTTCGCTCTCAAGCTTTGTTTTCGTTGGTTCTCAACTCTCTGCTACGGTTTGTGGCGAATCTTTGTTTTGTCGTTCTCAACCGTTGTCTTCTGCAGTTCACAACTCTTTCCTTCCTCGGAGAACCTTGCAGTCTGTGATTTTTTTTTTTTTTTTTCAGATTTTTATCTTGCTTTCGAAACAAAGTTTTCTTCTGTTCCGCACTTCTCTCTTTGCAGCTTTCCGATGCTAATTAACTGGGTCAGTTCCCTCGATGATCGTCGTTCAACAAGTGGTGCATGCATTTTCCTTGGTCCCAACCTCCTTGCACGGACCGTCAGAAACCAATACACCATGGGAGCGGGGATGAGGGAGGGTTCCGCGATTTGTGAAAACGTATAAAAATTTCAATTATGAAGAAAGCAAATCCTTGTATCATAATCCCTTTTATACGCACATGTGCATAATACTACTTGATCATAAAATGCGAATTAGCTAGTTGACTAGACACACACATATACCTCGATATCCTGATATATACCACTCGATCATAATCCTTTTTATTCATAGTGGTACCGCTCGATCATAATTAATATGCCAAGTTTATTGTTAAATGGAGCAAAGAGAAGCATAATACGTAAGTAATTAAGCAAATAATTTTCAGGCTAGCTACGGATTAGCAAATGTCAATCCAGAACCACTGAACCTCTCATCTATGATCTGATCCATACGTTTTACCATGTCATCAGTGAAGAAGTTCTTCCAATCCCCAACTTGTCCTTTCCTGAAGAAGTCACTGTTCTCAAAGACAATATTGGCTTTAACAAAGTACTGTTGCGTCCTGGAGGTTTTATTTACCTCCAAGCTGCTCAGATTCTCAAAACTACAAAGCTTTATGATCTGCTGCACCACCCCTTTGCTCTCCTCCTCCTCTGAAAAAGGTTGACCCAAGAACTCCGCCAGTCTCTTCACATTAGTAGATGGCTCCTTCCTGAGATCCTCATATTTTAAGAACAAAACTTTCGCTGGCATTTCCAAGCTTGCTTTCCAAAACCCTAGCACATGGTCCCAATAGGGCCCGTACGGGTAGACTCCGCGGCAGAAAAGCTCAAATGCTTCTTCCATTGATAAGGGTGCAAGTCCTGTGTTTACTGGTTTAACTTTGTTCCCGAACTTCCATAAAGAAATGAATGCATCTTTAGGGTTGCGGCAAACGTAAACGAATTTTGATACACAATAAGCACTACTAGAAGTAGTCACGGATTTTGGTAACAAAGAGTAAGGCAGGTGGGTCGCAAAGAGTTGAGTAGTGCTTGTAGGCGGAACATAATTATTAATCATACCATCACCACTGTCACGATCGTCGTGATCATGATCAAGTGAGGTTACGGGACGGCTGTGAACATGGTTTCCAAGCATGTTTTCCATCTCCAAGAAAGGAAAACAGTCGTGGGGCCCAGTTGTGAGCAAGGGATGATGAGGAGAGGCAGCATCATAGAGGCTTCTGTTGAGTGTAGCGAACATGAGTGCTCTAAGCCACGTCGTACCTGATTTCGGAATTGTGGCCAAGAAACATATGGGCGACGACCCACGGGCGGCGCTGGTAGAACTTCCGGTTGTTTGGAATAAGTTGAAATGGTGTTGAAGCTGCACGGCTGCTTTTAAGGCATAGGTAGGGGTTAGCCAGATCCCTTGGTACTGAACCAAGTGTTCAGAGGTCCAACCCTTCTCTTTCGGAAGATTTGGCAGCATTTCTCTACATATTTCGGCATCAATTTTCCGGTAGGCTTCCCCATCTTCCTTCTCCTCAATATAATTGGTTTTAGGAACAATATTTTGGCATGACTTAGAAAAAGGTTGGGACGTCGGAGCTGAAGACATTGGGGGGATAATGGAGGATATCAAGGTTTAGAAGCCTTAACATATACTCTAATTTATAGCTACGAGTAGTGATTATAATATAATGACGTGATTATAATATAAGTAATGATTTTGATAAATATATATATATATATATATATATATTTTATAATCTATAGCTATAAGTACTTAAGTGGTGACTAAAATATAAATTTAATATTAAAGAGATTAAATTTGTATATAAAATTTCAAATTAAATGATATTATCAATATAAATAAGTACATTTATTAATATTTAATATGCAAAATTTATCTATAAACTATATCTCTGTAGCATTAAGGGAATTGTTATTAAGATTTCAAAAATCTCATTCTACACTTCAAATATTTTATATTTGAAAAGAAAAATATAAAGAGTATAGGATGAGATTTTTGAAATGCCATAACACTTCTTTATCCAAATTATAATTATAAAGGTCCAGCCGGACTCGCTTACCACGTGTATGTGGATTTAATTGCCTTCATTTTTGGGTCCCGCTATTAATATAATTTAAAGGAGGATGCCAGACAGACTGGCTTACCTGGATTTGCCTTCAATTGCCTTTCGGGTTGGTTTGGTATTGCTGTGCTCTGAAAAAAAACTGCTTCTGCTATGCTGTAAGAATAAGCAGTTGTAAAATAAAGCAGCAAAGTGTTTGGTAAACTTTTTTGTAAAAGTGCTTTTGAAAAAAAAAAAAAAAAAAAAGTAGTATTATAGTGTTTGCTAAACTTTTATGTAAAGCAGATGTGAAAAAAAATCGATTTTTCAAAGCTGAGTTTTGCAGCTTCTTGTTTTTGGCTTTTTTCCACCCAAAACTGTGAAAAAAAGCTGAAGCTGAATGTTTACCAAACACAAAAATAGCTCCCAGCTTTTTTGATACTAACTTTTTTCAAAATCATCTCAGTACCAAACCAGGCATTCGTTTCCGCTATTCAAGTGTATTTGCCTTCAATAGCCTAGACTCTTGGGTCCCACTATTAATATATTTAAAAAAGAGAAAGCTAGCTAGCTAGACTCACCACGTCATTTGGAAAAGGAATCCTTTTCAGATTCGAAACCTTTCCATCCATCGGTTTGAATAGTTGAAATTTGATTTAAAGATAAAAAATAAAAATTTTATTAATTGTTATAATAATTTTAATCATTTTATCAAATTTTAAAATTTAAATTGATGTATGATAGAAGAGGTCCGAGTATTTAAGAATTTAATTGCCTTCATTCTTGGGTCCTACTATTAATATAATTTTAAAAAATATAATTTAAAACGATATTTCTCTCTCTTGTCTGCTATTCCTCACCATCTCTCCTCCCCACTTTCTCTGCATGCAGATGAAACCCAGAAAGTTGTGAAAAATTTCTGGTTCCTTCCATCTCTGAAAATTTCTGGTTAGAATATCTTCAAGGAGGATGTTAAAATATCAAAATCAATAACAATAGTAAAAAATGACAGCATCAATGTTTTTTATCCGATAAATCAAATTTAATATGACATGACATGCAATAGCAGTTTTCCCCGTTCAAATATTTTTTAATTCATCCAAATCGGGCAAAGAGAGTTTGTAAAATTTCTTCAACTTGTCGTTTACATTTTCTTTTAATTTTATATTTTGGGTTTTAGGAAATGAATAGATATGGATGTTCGTCCCCAGTTCCTCGAAAGAAAGAGAAACTATACATATGCAAGCTCCTCACAATGGGATTCTCCATGCGTAAAACTTCGGCTCCTCAATTTTCTACCAACTGCTGTACATATAACTTTGTTCCATCTGAGCCATCTACCAATTAGAGACCTTAATCCTCGAACATGCCTTCATCTTTGCGAGACTCATCTGCACTAAAATTTTTTTACTGGGCTTTGAGAACTATTGCAGCTAAAAAAGAGCGCGAGGCTGTTAATCTTAGCTAAAAAAATTATAGTTATTTTTTTAAATGCGATAGTAATCTTCACTAATTTTTTATTTTATTTTTGTGCTCTTAGATCAATTTCTTTGTAGTGCAATCATCGTATAAAATAACCATTGCAGCTAAAAATAAGCGCGACGACGTTAAATCCGACTAACTTCAGAAGATGGCAAGGTGTATTTGATACGGATGACTCAACATTGACGGTTTGGACCACGATGTCTTTGCTTGCAAGGAAAACTTTGATAGGAGTAATGTTATTCATACAATGTTTTTATACCATATTTCTATTTGATATGAACAATCATATTATTTGAAAAATTTGCAAAACCTAAGGAAACGAAGGAAAAAAACTTCTCGTATACCACAATCATCATTTAATTAACTAATTTTTCTTAATTATTAGTGTTGACTCTAAAAATTACCAAGCTTACATGGGGCGCAGACCGAGTAATTAATAAACTAATTACGTCCTTCAATTGTATGGGAGGCGTGCCAACTCGTCGGCCGAGCTCGGCCGAGGAGTAAAATGTGTTGATGTTGCGTTGAGCGCGCTGCTGACTTCTTAATCTTGCGATTGCGGCCCAGGAAGGAACACGCCTCGGCCTTCGGGTTCTAGAGCCTGAAGACAAGGCTGCTAGTTCTGTAAAGTTCAATATCAAATTCGGCTTTCAATGTGCCGAATGTAGTAATCTGTAACACCTCACTTCGCTAAGATGGCTAATAAGATGACATCTACCAATAAAGATTCGAAAATCCTTCTCGACCGTGACTTGGATAGATAATCAGTCGGCCTTGACGCAGTGCTGTTTATCCAAACTGAAGGTGCTTCGGGAACAACTGATTCTACAACAACAGTGCTGTTTATCCAAACTGAAGATGTCACCGATTGCCTTAACAGTGCTGATTATCCAAATTGAAAGTGTGTTGGCGGAAAAAGAAAATAAAAAAAATCTAAAGATGTTTGAGAAGTTTGCACAGGGCAATTTGTATGTTGAATTAGAGAGCTCGAAATGTTGCACAGTGTCTTGTATTTATAGGGACCAGTACGCGCTGATTGATAAGCTGATAAAGATTACCATGCTATTAAAACTCTTCCACTAACTCAAGCCTGGGATAAGCCTTACTGCTACCGAGACTCTGAACTTAGTCAAAAATGCAACCAAATTCGATCCTTATGCTTAGTCTTATCACATCGAACCCCAAGAAAACCTGCATGCTTGGACTTGAACAAATAATGTTTATCTAAACAGCCACCAATTATATATATATATATATATATATATATATATATAAGATTTGGATCCTCTTCTGAGCTAATGAAAATGATCCTCCTGACCCATTATCATGTATTGTTGGATTTTTATTCAATGGTTACAATTATTATAATTTTAAAAGAATCCTCCTATTTGTAGCTGTTGGATAAAAATTCAACGATTTACGATGATGAATCAGGAAGATCCTCTTTATTAGCTCAGGAGAGGATCCAAATCCATATATGTATAATTGTATAGTTGGTAGTCATTCACACGGCATGTAGGCCAAAGTCCATCATCAATTCATCTGACAACATCCATCACTACTCAAATAACCTAGCCTACTTAACTTTCCTATCTCACCATTATCCAAGCCTTGCAAATCCAATCCAAAGCCGTCACTTCAAGTCAAAGACTCCCAAAAGAGACCAGGTCCATTTCAAACTATACTTCCCTTCAAACGGCACCACGATTATCACTTTTCGATGGTAATCATCACCAACTTTTTGCTTAGTCAAGTTCCAACTTCATCCATTCTCATCCATGCAGAACATGATAATTTAATATAAAGTCATTTCAAAGTCGTTCAGTAGAGAGAGCACGTTAAATCAATAACGTGAATTGCACATCGGAAAAAATCCAAAAGCAGGAGTCACTTCAGATGGATCTAGCAATATTGCATAGGCCACAAGTGTTATTTCTTCATAAATAAATATCATGATCTTTTTAAATAAAGTCATTTCTAAAGTAGTTGAGTAGAGAGAGCAAGTTAAATCAATTACGTGAATTGCACACTAATAATGGTGAATGGTGGGGTTTACGAACTAAAAATGCTAAAAATGCTATGTACCCAAAAGCGGTAAGACCATATGTCAATAGAATGGGTCAATAATTCAGTGTTCAATTAGTGCTATTACAAATTGATTTTCCAAATCGTTTTATTTTAGTTTCTTTTACTTTTGCTTATTTTTCTAATATTTTTAATTAAATTCGTTTTTTTTATTTTAGATCTTAAAATCAATATTTTTCAAAACTTTGTTTCAACTTTCAAGTAATTAACTAAGATTGATTTTACATAAACTATTCATTCAATCTTTGTGGAGAACGATCTTACTTGAGCTGCTATATTACAATAATCTTGTTCTCCTTCAAGTATTTTTAATTGTTTTTATTCTTACTTTTGCAAGTGGTAAAAATCCTATCAATTCTGTTGATCGTAGCAAAGATGAGTGCTCTAAGCCATGTTCTACCTGATTTTAGATACGTAGCCAGGAAGAAAATGTAGGAGCCACAGGCGGCGGCACAGGTACTTGCAGCTGGTGCAGAAGCTTTGAGGAAGTTGGAATGGTGTTGAAGCAACAAGACTATTTTTTAAGGCAAAGGCATCGTGTAGCCAGTAGCTTTGTTATTGAACCAAGTGTTCAGTGGCGTAAGCCATCTTTTTCGAAAGGTTTAGCAGAAACTCTGCATATAGGTTTTTGGTAGGCTTCCAGGCCTTCCTTCTGCTTAATATAATTGGTTCAGGAACAATATTAAAGGGGGCGTGGCTTAGAAGAAGAAGGTTGGGACGAAGCTGAAGACATTTTGTGATGTAATGAGGATGAGCATGATCGAGCTAGGTGTTGGTTCATTTGTAATATTAAATTAATTATAATTGTTATTATTTGGTGGTTAGTAGGAAAGTAAGTTTATTTTTCATTATTTGTGGTTAGTGAGAAATTAAGATGGAGTATTCAGTCTTTCATCTTTTGTAACTCTTGTAACCTTTTTTTTCTTATTAATTTGTGTTTGTTACCCTATTCACTGAGGGTGGTAATAAACATATAATTATTAGCATTTTTCCCGTCATATTTTTATTTATGATCCTAC